AATCCAGCCATGGCGAGCATCGACCCTCTCCAGTCCAAAGCTTGGTTTAAATTTTGTACAATAGGAGTCATAGCCAAGAGAGAAGACCCGCACCCCACTGATACTAGCGATGTTGCTTCAAATTTATATTTGTCGAAATACACTGGAACAGCAACCATTGTGCTAAAGTAAACAAGGCCCACTGCTGAGCCTAAAACTATTCCAAATGTTACAATTAAAAAACCAATAGTTGGTACAAACGAAGAAGCAACAAGTCCACTTGCAGATACCAGACTTCCCAGCAATAAGATTTTCCGAGATCCAAAATGATCGCATAGTTTTCCTATAACTGGGCCCAGAAGCCCAATGTTGGCTACAGCTATTGAACCAGGAGCAGCTGGAATAGAATGAGAAAAAAGAATGGTTTTGGAAAATATTGAGAAAAAATTATCTGAGACATGCGCAGGAATTGTTCTAGTGATTCCAAAGACATCCTTTTTTTCGGAAATCTCGGCCACGGCTGAAAATTGATTTTACGGGGACTTGATGAGAAAGTCACTRCTGTGCACGCTRGGAAGGGTCATGTTCGTTTTTGGTGCAAAATCATAAAAGTTAAAAACTATTGAAAAGATAGAGTACATTGTCAAACACTAAAACTGTGCAACATAAATACCACTAAATACTGCTAAATTATGCTAATTCTATTGTTTTCTATTGTTTAATTAACACTATTTTGTAGTAAATAGTGGAATTTGTTGCACACATTTAATGTTTGTACTTTAAGCTTGATCCCAAGTTGGTAGAGATGGACATCTGGTTCATCAGTGGCTCAGAGATATACGATTTTTCAAGTTTTTCATTATGAGTGACCCATCCTCCCCCCTTTCCCCAAACCTCTCCGCCTCTAACTTCTTGACGACTTGTTAACTGACATGCTTCATGACTTTACCAATGGACCAGAAAATAGTTTTCTCACAAAGCCAATCAATCCGAAGGTCAAAGATAAGCAAAACTAGAGACGCTGTAAAAGATCGGGCAAGCTAGAGTGGTGTGCATAATGGAAAATAGAGAAATAATAGAAGAGCAAACGCTCATTCGTCGTTTTATTGTCGGCTAGCTCGACTAATAAGACCAGGATATGATACCGTTTGCGAGTTTTTGAAAGATGTTACCGGTATTGTTASATAATAAAATTCAAAAACGACCTAAGGGACTGTGCAATAATTACCGGGAGGGGGGTGGGCGTAAAACCAGATTTCTTAAGCAGAAATTAGCTAGAACCCCCCCTCCGAAGCACAAGAAAATAGCTCTTACCCCCATCCTCTGCTATATATGAAATAACGWCGAACCTCCATTCCCCCAACTATTAACCTTAGTTATAAAACAAGCACAAGCKAGTCGAGTCAACTGTAGCAACCCAAATTCACTAAAGACGAGTGAGATAGTGAGGGCGCTATATAGATTTTATCTTATTAATATTATTATTATTAGTGTTTACCASCTCGAGTCATTTGTGTTTCAAACAAAAATATGCAAATACAATAGCAGAAGTGAAGCATCGAGTACGAATGTGATGTCGAATTTATCTAATCCTTTCATGCTCATTTATTAGAAATAGCTCGAAATATAGCACAAATGACTCAAACCATAGATTTACAAGCTACGTGTCTGCAAAACCTACTTGTTTTTGTGCCTATAATCACATACGGAACGGGTCTTACTGACCCTTACTATTTCAATATTATCTTATGAGGTTACGCGAAATGCAAATATAAACAAGGTTTTCAAAATTATTCTTTCTAGTTTTTAGTTATACCTACCTGTAAGAGCTCGAGTTGATTTGAAGTCTTTTAGTATGTTAGGAAACAGTATTCCATAAGTTGAAGCACAACCAAAGATGAAAAGAGACGAAGTCATCAGTAGAACACTCATGATCCACGACCAAGGGCCATCAATTCGCTTGAAACAAGTTTCTTGATAAGACTGGTCGCCTGGTTCATGCTCTTGTTTATCAAACATCACTGAAGATCTTGAAATGTTGTCGTTAATTTCGTTGCTTATCATGATAATGGGCTCTTTCATATACTCTTCACAATTTGAGGCAAACTTCAGCATGGTATAAAACATTTTTTGAGTGTTGACAAGCCATTGAAATGTCTGGGATTTCAGTCCCCGCATAAATTCGTAATTCCATAATACGCTGGCACAAAACAACTAATCGCCTGAAGGGTTATAATAATAAACGGCATTATTTCTGAAAATATATCTCTTGCAAAGTAGCTTAGCTTGTACGTGGGCTTCCTGTGTATCTGTAAAATCCAGAAGCTTCGAACGACTTCCATATATGAATGTACATAAACAGGTTCCTGATAAAAGCTCTCATTTACCCACAAAAGCTTCATTTAATAATATTTGCATACACACGATTATTCATGAATGTCGCTCAATCAAGCGAAATAATGGTCTCAAAGCACTCTAAGTTGTTTGTTTAAGGAAATCTGCCGTATTCAAATCTACCTAGTAA